ATTGAAAAAAAAGGACCCTTAATCTTTCCATAAATCTTCCCTCGGAGGTGGGGGACAGCTCAGAGACGAGGGCGGCAGGGTAGACACAGGTACCAGCCCTTCCCATCCAGGCAATAGCATAGGGGTAGGTGGTATCAGCCCACTGTTGAGCAATAGAGATGGGGTTAGAGCAGCAGGCCTGGGGGTACCATTACCTTTCCTTCCTCTACCTCATGAACCCAGGGACAGGTCTTTGCTTGTCACCCTGTCCTGCTGAGGTCAGTTGTAGCTGGACCGCGCTCTTCAGCTGAAGTGACACCATTCTATACATGCTGGACCCTGTCTCAACCTTGGTGGGTGGGACGGTCACGCCCATTTCACATATTGGGAAACAGGCCCAGAACATGGACAGGGCTAGCTCAAGACTACTTACTTCCTAAGTGGGAATAGGAGGAGTTTGAATTCAGATCTGCTTGGCCCTCTGTGCTGAATCATGGAGCCAGGTCATTCATCACCTGTTTACATGCCCTTGAGTCAAACATTTTACCATGCATAATTCATTCCTTTGGATTATACATTCAACAGTGGAAATATCTCTGGGAGAAGTGACCTGTTGAGTCATTCAGTTGTACCCAGTGCCCCCTGTGCTGAAGGCTTAGCTCAGCTGTTTCCTAGCTCTGGAAATTCCAGTTAGCATTCAGTTCTATGGAGTCTGTTTCTGTTCAGGAGAATCTGATGAAACAATCCTTGGAGGTAGACAAGATTGGGGAGGGGGTGAAGATCCAGAGAACCCAAAGACGGAGAATAATAGGAGGCCATGTGTCATTGTGCCCCCACCGAGGGACACTGTTCACATTGTTACATAAACTTGCTTACTCCAGACCTGCCCATATGGAGACAGGAGGGAATGGACAGCCAGGGGAGACAGAGAAGAGATCTGAGTCAGGGGGAGACATGAAGGTCTGGACAGGGTGGCAGCAGGCAATATGGCTGCTCACAGGACCAATGACATTGACCCCAACCAGTGGCCTGCTTGGCTCTGTGTCTCAACTCTCATTTAATCAGTCTTTCTCCCTCTCCACTTTCCCTTTCACCCTCCCACTCTCCCTCCTGTCTCTCAGCCAGTTGCAGTGAACATAAGCAGCACGGTTCCTGGTCAACAAGCAACAAGCAAACCCTGAGACAGCCGCACACAGAAGCATGGGGAGGGGGCGGGTGAGTAGGTACAGCTGAGGGCTAGTCTAAGGAACCCTTTTAAATTTTAATATTTATTTATGGGGGTGCACATGTAGAGGTCAAGAGACAACTTCATGGAGTCAGTTCTCTCCAGCCACATTTGTGTGGGTCACCAGGATTGCATGACAAGTGACTTTACCCTCTCAGGTCATCTCAGGGACCCAAAGTCATCAAAGGAAACCCATTTTAAGTTGAAGGGTGGGGAGTGCTTCCTTTTTCTCCTAAACCAGTTTAAGCAAAGCTTAAGTTGTCATGACATCCTTAAGACAATAGGGTCTGGCCCTTATGTGAAGCAGGTGAGGATCAAAGAGATTGGGGCAGTCAGAAAGCAATCTGAGGGAGGGATCTTCACAGGTACCCTGTTCTCACTAGTAGTGGCCTGTCCCCCTCTCTGACTCCTCCCCAAACAAAGCCACCTCCTCTCCCCTTCCCTTGCACACACTTGCCTTCATTATAGACTTTCTGGCTGGGCCTCTGCTCCCAAGGGAAGGTTGAAGCAATCCTTAGGGATGGAAAAAGGGGGTGGGGTGGGACAGCTAGGGCGGGGTGTGAGGGTGGCATCTCCTTGCAATTCTCTGCCTGCAAGTTTTGTGTACAGGCTTTTCGCAGAGGCTGGTTTTGAGGGAAAACTAAGAAACTGAAGAACCTGGTCACTCAAGCCTCTTTATATCATTGCTATTTGAAATGCAGCAAATTCCTAGATCCTGGCTACAAAGAGGCAGGGGCTTGGCACATTTCAACAAATATACCTTATTCTACTGTATAATTTAAGGTATTTTATTCAGGTGCCATTCAAACATGTGCAAAACGCTTGCATATGCCATAGCTATTAATGAAATCATTACGTACAAACAGCTACGCTTTATCAAGTCATTCATTAAAGGTAAATTAATGAGGGGGACAGCATTAAAATATTTTGCAATCATTACCAGGTCCAGCCTAACCTACTTTTATAAATATTCATCAACAAAAACGTGCCTCAAGAACTCACCCAGTAAATTAAATTCTCGTCTTGAAGTGTTTTGCTTCTATTAATGGCATCGGCCGTGGTAGTTTCTTTGATTTGTTTTCCGGAACTTTGGGATATATTGTACAGAAATAATGACAAACTGAGTAATCGCTGATAATTAGGCCAAACCTATTATTCCCGTGGTATTTACATTTTGATTACTATCCCCCACCCCCAACCCCAGAGGCAACTTCTCAAATCCATTCTAATGCAAGACAAAATAGTAAGGGAGACTTCCAGAGCTGGAAGAAAACTAAGAAATTCACCTGCTGTTTGAATCTCTGGCAGCCACTCTGCTAAACATACTTCTGAGTACAGGGAACTCACTCCCACTCCAAATGGTCTGTCCCATTCTTAGGCCCCTGTGGTGTTTGTCCTCATCTCTGCTTTGCTCTCCACAAGCTCTGAGCCACGAGCACTGGAGTGGAGGTAAAAAAAAATACTTCACAGCATAGAAAAGCATCTTGTGGATATTGCCATACTCTTGTCTTCCCCGAAGCCTTCCATCTTTAAGTTGAGTATTTCCAGGGCACTACAAACCCCCTCAAATGATGTGAACTCTGGGACTCTCCACTTTCTCTTTCCTGTATTTGTACTGTGGTCCTGGGCGACCTTGGCTCTCCCTACACTTTCACCTCTGTTTCCACTGCCCTCAGTTTCCTTTTGCACCTTAACCCATATAATCTCAAGCTTCGGGTCATGTCGGTATATAAACTATCGTATGAACTCTGAACCCTTATGAAAACTTCATCTGCAGTGTTCTCCTTTCCTTTCCTTTCCTTTCCTTTCCTTTCCTTTCCTTTCCTTTCCTTTCCTTTCCTTTCCTTTCCTCCTTCCCTCCCTCCCCTTCTCTCTCCGTCTCTGTCTCTCTCTCCTGTCTGTCTGTCTGTCTGTCTCTTTTTCTTTCTCTGTCTGATGAACTCCTGCAGATCCTACAGAACCCCTGTAGAGTGGCTGTCACTGTGTGAATCCTTCTTGGTTGAATTCCAACCTCTGTTCTGGAAAGAACTGAACAAGGCTTCCTCTTGAACTACTCTACTCTTTGTAAGAGCGTGGTGCCTTCTAACATGGCGAAACTGGAGGGCCAGGAGGTGTCCTAGCGTGCTTTCTGTCTCTGTGATAAGCAAATCAGGGCATTGTTTAGCTGACAGTTCATCATCACAGGAGGCTAGGACAGGGTCTTGGAACAGAAACCATGGAGGAACATTGCTTATTGACTTCTTCCGTGGCTCACTGCCTTTCTTAAACAACCTAGAATAATTCTGCCCATAGAGGCCTGAGCTCTTCTACACCAACCACTAGCAAAGACTATACAACCCCCCCCACGCTAATCCCAGGTATGTCTAAGTTTGTATCAAGTTAGCAAAACTATGACAAGAGGGCTTCACAAAACTTGGAGGTTCCCCAGGGTTGCCAAGTTTGACAGTTTTCTGGCTACCATCCTACAAATCTGAGGATTCCAAGTCCAGCCTATGGCCCCCTTCCTTGGTCATCAAAAACCACAACGCTGGAATGAGTCCTTCCAGAGGAGATTTTGATATATCATTCCCTAAAAGAGAGTAAACTTCCAGCTTCAGAACAGGAACAAAGAGAAGCGAGCTATAGCCAACAATTTCCTCTCATCACTGGGCCTATGAATTCACAACCATTTTTAAAAGAAAGTTGTTTTTATCGCCAGGTATTTCTGGGGCCAAAAGCATTTACTTTGTGACACTCAAGCAACTGAGAACCATCAACTGGGACCTTGATTTGTCATTAAAACATTTAGAAATGCGGATTGGCAATGAGGAATTGGCTTACATCATCACTGACATATGCTTCTGTTATAGGTATGCTTGTGTATGTATGGATGCATGTATGTGGACTCCAGAGGTCAACCTCAGGTGTGGTTCCTGAGGAACTGCCCACCTTGTTTTAGAGGCAGTCCCTAGAACCTGCTGACTCAGCTAGGCTGGCTGACCAGCAAGCCCTAGGGGCCCTCCTCCCTACTCCCCACCCCAAGCCTGTAATTACAGCATATATCACCACGCCTGACTTTTTATATGGAATTTGGAGTTCAAACTCAGGTTTTTTTTTTTCACATGCATGTTCCAAATACTTTACTTACAGGGCCATGTCTGCATTCTAACTGACGGACATATTTTAAAACCACTATTAAGAGAGTGGAAGACTAGTGACGGGGGTGGGGTGGCTCTCTTGGTACCTGAGAGGTCTCGCTAGTGAGCAGGTACACAGCAAATTTTCTCCATGCCTATGCTCTGAATATCACACAGAATTTAAGAGCCTAGACTTGGGAGGGGACTGGTTGGGTCTGCTTGAGTGCCTCCAGATCCCTGTTGTGCCTAATCCTCCTGTCTGTTAACCGGCTTACCTCAGCACCCACACCATTAGATGATGATATCTCAGAGACGTGTATCCTCGCTGTTGGGGAGGCCTGGCCCCGTCTTCCTCTGCCCTCTAGAATCAGACTTTTTTTTTTTTTTTTTGGTTTTTACGAGACAGGGTTTTGGAGGCTATCGGTCCAGCCTGGCCTCGAACTCACAGGGATCCGCCTGCCTCTGCCTCCCAAGTGCCGGGATTAAAGGCATGCGCCACCACCGCCCGGCTAGAATCAGACTTCTAATGAACACACAGCCTGTCTGTGGTGCCATTTCCTGCATAGCCTGCTGCTCCACTAGCTTGTCTACTGTGCCCCACGGAGGCTCCTGGGGGTGAAGGTGAGGAGGAGGAGAGTGATGTCTGTTTAGGAGGATGCTGTACACAAGTCTAGACCTACCTGTGTTTACAAGGTCAACGTGGAACCGCAGAACACCAGACACATCAGCAGCCACCACCCAGGAATGAACTCAGCTCCCGTGACAGGTCTAGGTGGGTACTCGCATGTAACTGTCAACTCATCACATGTGACTTCACTAGTCTGGATCTCAGTTTGATCACCTGTGAATGAGAGTATGACAAGCTGAGCCTGGGAGCTTCGTCAAGTCCAAAATTGGTTTAGATGAAAGGAAATCCAAAAGGATTCTAGAAACTTCTCCTGGGCCAGGAGTCATGGGCTATCACTTTCTCAGGACCTCACAGGATGGAGTCTGGATGTGTCTGTTTGTGTCAGTCAACTCTGACTGACACGTTGAGCTCTTGTTAGGGGCTAAACCCTAGGTGAGCATATGGGCCATTGTTTCTAAACCTGACTATGATTCCAGGAGAGTCTGGGTGGGAGGGACTCCTAGGATCCATTTTGCAGTTGGGAAATCTAGCAGAAAGATCCCCTCAAGATTACAATTGGGTGGCTCTACAGCCGGCGTTTGGACTCGGGCAGCTTGCAGGAAGATTTGGAACAGGAGCTTGTTTGTGTTGCTGTTGTTTTTTGGTGGGCTGACATAGCCTGGTCTGAAACTTGCTTTGCAGCCGAAACTGGCCTTGAGCTTCCAGTAAGTCTCCTATCTTAGCCTCCCCTGTTCTAGGATTATAAGTATGAGCCACTCCACCTCACCCAAACATGTTTTTAATTGGCGTGATATTTTCCGCCCCTCTTCTAGGCTCAGTAACCCTTATCTAAACTACTTAGGACCAGAAATGCTTTGGAATTCAGATCCCGCCCCCCCCAACCCTCACCCCTGCCAGGTTCTGGAATATTTGCATACAAGTAATGAGACATCTTGGGGATTGTAATCAAATGTAAACACAAAAGTCACTGCTTTGCATAGCCTTTATACATAGCATTGGGGCAGTTTCCTGGGTCTGTTAGTCTGCCTGTGCTTGTACTGGAGCCCTGTGGAGAGGTCAGGTGTGGAACTTTCCACTTGGCATCATAAGGGTGCTCCAAAGGCTTTGGTTATGAGCCGTTTTGGATTTCAGATTTTAGGATACGGGATCTCAGCTGGTAGCCCCATTTACTCCACAGAGCTATCAAATCCACACAACCTTGTCTCCAGCCTTGTTCTTGCAGCCTCCTCATTGCCCTCCTTACCTCCACTCCTGGTTTGCAAGTGACTTCCACACAGCAGTCAGGTGTCATTAGATCACCCCAGAAAACAGAACCTAGGGCTTCTCACGGCTCCTGGGGTTCAATCAGGTCTTCTGAATGCCATCTGCAAAACCGGAAGATCATACCATCCCTTAACCCGCCATCCTCACTCACTAGGGACTGTAAATCAATGCTGTGGCTCATGACCTGTATTTTCTTAAATCAAAGAAAAAGAACAGGTTAAAATCTCTCTCTCTCTCTCTCTCTCTCTCTCTCTCTCTCTCTCTCTCTCTCTCGTGTGTGTGTGTGTGTGTGTGTGTGTGTGTGTGTGGTCACATTTAACGTAGGAAGGAAGGATGATTTCATCTCATGAATCTTTTAAATTAGTTACATGTAGGTTAAAAAAAAGTCTGTGTATTTCATGGGAAACAGCAACACCCCTCTTACTGTAGGGTATCTTTGACGATGTAGGAGTTCAGAGTTTAGGAGTTCATTGTCTGACCTTGTCTGGTCTGTACCCTGGACTTTCAGTCTCTATCTTTACTGGTCAGCCTGCAGCAGCCTTCTGTGAGAGACAATGGTTTTCCTCTGGGAAGTGCATTCACTTTCTCTTTCCTGCAGGAAGCCCTTCCTCCCCTCCTCCTCCTACCCCCAGAACCAGAGCATAGCACACGTAGTTCCTAAGTGGTTCTAGACCATATGCTCCACAGAGAGTATCGCCCAGGGAAGGGCATCAATTTAAAGTCCCATGACTGTCAGGACAGGTTCATGTCTGCTTACTAGCATTCCTTTTATCTGCATACCACCGTGCCTAAAACACACTAGACATTGAACAAACTCATGAAGAATATGGATCCTGAAGGGTTGAACATTGTAATCTTTATTGGTATGAAAACTGAGGCTCAAATGGGCCCCCTAGTGTCTTCACTGGCGCTTCAGGCAGGTGACTCATGGAGGGTCTGGCTGTGTTTGCCCTTCTCAGTTTCTTGGTCCAATCCCTCTAAGGTGTATCTGGGCCACATGCTCCTGGAGTGCATCTCCCCCCCACCCCCATCCTCTCTGTCTGGATTAGCTGAGCATGATGCACAGGGGTGGCTGGGGAAGACACAACTCAGACGGTGACAGCGACAATATTAGGAGTGAAAAAGATCAATTAAACCCATCGAGCTGATTTGTGAGGCTGATTAAATTAGGAGCCTCCCTGGGGGCAGATTCCCTCTCAGGTTGACAGGCCAGCTGCTGGCTGCCGGGCTGGGGGGGTGCTCACCAACGCCCCGAGAGCAGTGGGGCCACTTTGCCATGCTTGATGCATGGAGAGGGGATGAAGAGAAACCACATTTAGACAGCTTGGGGAGCTTCGGACTTGGATCTCCTCTTGAGCCTCCCATGGAGGACCTGGGGGAGGAATGAGCACAGGAGATTCTGGCTTAGAATCTACACCGGCCTTCTGAAAGGAATAGCAGTCTCTCTACGGCCCTGGTCCTCTAGCTTGGAGGTTCAGTTAAGTGGTCATGTGTGAATGTGAACCCAGGACTTTTGGCTTCTGTATTTTGTCCCCACTTTAGGCTTCAGCATCCTGCTTGGTTTTATTTCTCCATTTTTTTCCAGGCTCAAGGCTCTGGTTCCTTGCCTCCTGCCACCACTGACTGGATATAATCAGATTATCTCTTTTAGTAACCTGACCCTTTTGCCTGGCCTCAGGACTCCCTTTCAGGGAATGTCCCCAGGGCAGCTTGGCAAGAATATCCTCCCATTTCAGAATGCTCCCCCCTTCTTGGCCCCTGGATGGGGGCTGGGAAGTAGATTTGGACAAAGCTCCTGTGTGTGTGTGTGTGTGTGTGTGTGTGTGTGTGTGTGTGTGTGTGTATAGGGACAATGGATGGGGGAGGTTACAACAATAAGGTCAAAGGATTCTTGAGAGCATGAGGACAGGGAAGGGTGTGTTGTGGGTGCAGGCTGAAGAAATTGACCATAGTCAAGCCCTACCTTTAGTGACAGAAGAAGATGTGATACCCTTAAACCCCAGGTAACCATGGTGTGCTGCATTTCTGGATGGGAATGGGATCCAATGGTAGTTCCCTATAGCCTCAGATGCCCAGGTAAGATCACTCTAGGCACAGAGTGATGGAGGGCTTCCAAGCAGAGGCAGGTCTGTGGTTCAGAGACAAAGACCAACACCCAGGAGAAGAAACTAGTACTTCAAGGAGGCTGAGGGTCCCATTAGCCTGCGGCCAGAGATGACGCTAGTGGAAAAGCATCTGACTCTCCCCAGAGCATGGTTTCTTCTCCTCGGCCATCCCTCTTTCTCAGCCTAGGTCTATGCTAGAGCATAATCAACTGAAAAATAGGCACGCAAGCCAAAAGGTGTTCACGTGCATCCAGAAGTTGTAGAAGCAGGATTTGCACCCAGGTCTGTGGGGACTTGGGAGGCTCAGTTATTTCCTGGGCTCCCATCCCAAACCTTAAGATCACTGACAGTTAGTGATATATGCAGGAAACAACAGACCTATGGAAACCCACAGGTCTCAGGAGGCAGGACGGGCTGAGGGTAAGCGTTCAGGCTGGAAGTCAGACAATGTTCATTCTCCTGGAAATGGGATTCACTTGGCCAACTTAACCTGACTCTTTGTGGTTTACTTTCTTCCTCTATAAAATGGGTGTAAGGGGAGTACCTCTCTCCTGGGGGCTATTATGAGGACTAAATAAATACACACATATAAATAGCTTACAGTGACACCTGCTGCTCAGAGTGTTAGACATTGTGGCTTGTAAGAGAGTCCAGATGTAGGGGCTCAGGAACCTGGATGTTAAGTGGCCATGTCTTAAGAGAGAGGGCCACAGAAATGCCAAGAATCTGAATGTCACTCATCCACGTTTGTGAGTCTGCTCACAAGTTGGCAAGGACCCTCTACATTCTGCAGAAAGGTGCCTCACACTGAGGGTCACTCATGCCCAGTTCTGCTTGGAAGAGTTCCTCAGACTCCTTTGAGTACACCCAGAAGCTGAATCAGGTTCTGGCTGCAAATCTGCTCAGCTGTTCTGTGTGATGAGCACCAGGGTCCCACCCTGAAGCTAAGCTCCTAAGTGCTGGTCCAGAGTCTCTTGGTGGCTCTGAAACAGGTGCTATCTTTTGCAGGCAGCCATAGGCCTGGCAGCAGGGTATTTTAGTCCTCTCATTTGCAATCGCTAATGAGAATCAGGGCTGTTCTCTATCCCAAGCCTCGATCTGATTTTTAATCTGTTTCTAGAAGCTGGGGATGATCTTCCTGCCACCCTGGTGAAATATTAGCCATTATTTCTCTGTTACTTCCCATTGGAAGGCAGTCCCTGACACTGGGCTCCCAGAGCTACGGAAGCTGGAAGCTTTGAGAGTGCGCTTTTGATCTGTGTGAACCTTGCTGTGAGACACATTTCTCTGCCATCCCTGCTCTAAGTGGAGGGCTACACTGGGTGGCAAATGGCTTCCTCTCTTTCCACACCTGGCCTGCAGCCCAGCTGGGCTTTTCCCACACAGGGAAGTGAGGCAAAGCACCTCCTCCGTGGTCTAAGAGCCCTGTCCTGCAGCCTGGATCACAGGCCTGAGGATACAATTTTCCCATGCCCTAAGCCCATCAGTGAACGAAAAGCCTTCACAATCCAGAGTCCCTGATGGCTCCTCTCCCCTTAGCCCCCTTCTCAGCCTAGGCTAAGCTTGTCACCCATCTGGATTGGTCCATGAACATCTTAACTGGCCTTAGAATTCCACTTTAACATCATCATGTGTCCCTTCCTTGTCTGTGGGTTCAAATCCAGGGTCAACGGATTGTGGATCAAACATGCTTGGGAAAGAACGTCAAATCTACTCTGAACATTGACTGTCCTTTGTTGTCCCTGTTCCCAGAACAATACAATGTAATAGCTCTCCCCACAGCACTGAGCACTGGGCCAGCTGACTTTGCATACCAGGGAGGGTGTGCTCAGGCTGTATGCAGATATTGCATCACTTCACACAGTTGCTCAAACCCTGCAGAGGAGGAACAAAGGAAAACAGTGCCACTTTGCAGTTTCCGAGGTAGTGGGAATTCAATCTAGGGATTCCCATGTGTTAGGTGAATGCTCTACCATCGAGCTATATTCCTAGGTACTTTTAAGGAAAATTGGTTTTTGGGCAGGGTCTCATGTAGCCTAGGGTGGTCTCAAACTTACTATATAAGAGAGGATGAACTTGTAACTTTTGAGCCTCCTGCCTCTACTTCCTGAGTGCTGGGATTACCCGAATGCCACCATACCAGGTTTTATGTGGTACTGAAAATCGAACCTCCTGGATTCTTGCTGTAGGGCTTCTGGTACGCTGGGTAAGCACTCAACCCAGTGACAGCTCCAGCCTAGTATGTTCTTTTTGAAATTTAAAATACAGAGCTGCTGAGGTGGCTTAGTAGTCATAGATGCCTGTCATCAAGGCTGATAGCCTGAATTTGGTCCCTAAAACCCATGGGATGCAGGGAGATAGTGGCTTCAGCAAGTCCTCTGACCTCCATACACATGGAGTGCGACCCACTCAACTGTTCTTCTCATAACCCTTACCTCTCACAAGAGCTACTGTTCCTCAGAACTCTTCCCTAATCGCCTGTCTCTCCCTCATCCCCAGCTAGATGAGGTAATTTGGATGCTCAGTCCTCTTCAGACTTCTCCACGGCATCATGTACACTTGTAATCACTGGCTCATTTTTTGGAGATGCTTTGTTCTCTAACCTGCAGTGCAACGAGGGCAGCCTTTGCTTTTCCTCCTAAGTGCTTAGCATATGTGGGGGTGCTCCGTGCATTCCTGGATGATGACTGTAGGGACCAAAAGGGAATGGAGGCACACAAGGAAGGACCCCTTGAGGAGCCACTCCTGCGTGATAGCCTCACAACAACCTCATGAATAGGAATAACACATCTGCAAGTCACTACAAAGACAGGAGGACTCAGAGAGGATAAGTAACCTGTCCAATGTCACACAACTGGATATCAGAGCTTGAAGCATCCTGGTGGGAACTCACACCAGGTAGAGACTCTTCAACAACTGTCCCTAGCTTCAGCCTCACTGTCATGTAGTCTCCTTGTTGCAATTGATGACTGGAAGGTTGTAGGTGTCTGCGTTTTCTCTTTCTCTGGTGTTCCCTTGGGGTTCATGTCTGGACTCTGGTACTGACTAGTTTTTATGTCAACTTGATACAAGCTGGGGTCATCTTGGAAGAAGGAGTCTTAATTGAGAAAATGCCTCTATACTATAGAGTCTATAGAATCAGCCCATAGACAAGATAGCAGGACATTTCCATGATTGACAATTGATGTGGGAGGGTCCAGATCCCGTGGGAGGTACTACTCCCTGGCAGGTGGTCCTGGGTTTGTATAAGAAAGCAGGCTGAGCAAAGCATGGTGAGCAAGCATTCACCCATAGCCTCTGCTCCAGTTACTGCCTCCAGATTCCTGCCTTGAGTTCTTGTCTCAACTTCCCTCAGTGATAGGGTGTGATCTGGGAGTTGTGAAATGAAACAAACCCTTTCCTCCTCAACTTGCTTTTTATCATGGTGTTTTACCATAGCAATAGAAACTCTAGCTAATGCAACTCTTCTCATGCTGCTGGAATGGAATGGATCCTGTGACCAGTGTGCTTGATATGGGTTTTAGTCTGTTTTGTGCTGGCATAAATGAGTGCCTAGACTGTGGACTTCATAAAGAACAGGAGGTTATTCGATGGGTATGGGACTGGCTTCTGATCTGCATCTGGTTAGAGCTTCGTCATGTAGCCAACATGACAGAAGGCATCACATGGCCAGGCAAAGCCTGTTGCTAGGTAGAGTATCTCTTCCCCTTCCTATGAGGACATGAATGCCGTTGAGTGGGCCACAGCCTTGTGACCTGGCCTAGTTCTTATTATGTCCCAAAGATACCACCTCCCAACACCATCAACACACAGGATTTAGCTCTAACAGACACATTTTGGGGGACATGTTTGAATAGCAATAGTGCCAGGCTCTGAGCTGGCAGCAGAAAGATCCAGGGCTCTTCTCCCTCCACCATGATTTCTTTATTTATCCCCAATAAGCTTCTCCCAGAGGGTGAAGGTGATAGAGGGCACAGGAGAAAGGAATAAAAATGCCCCACACTCTACATGCATATTTTCTAGCTCTGGGTCTGAGGTCTGAGTTCTCAGAAGCACTTGAGAGGCAGACAAACCTCAGTTGCCACTTAAAATACCTGTTGCTTCTGATGGTGGATGGGTGGTTCATTCAACGGGTATCTCTCCATAGGCTAGAATACTATATGACCATCAAAAACAGTGATAGGTTACAAAGGGTTGTTCAACCTGTGTCATGTGAGAAGACAAAAAATGAAAAAAAAATACAGCGTATTTGCAAAAAAAATATAGATATACATGCGTAATGTAGAATGCACACGTGACAAAGCCTAGAAAATGAACACAAAATAATATCTTTGTTTTCAGAGATGAGAGACAAAGAGCAATTCAAAATTTCCTGTTCTTTGTATTGTTTTATCGACTATGAATTACTTTTGAAAATAAGTTCTTTTAATGAACACCACTTTTAAAAGAAAACCCAAAAAGAAGGAGTTGATTCTATAGTAGTACCAGAATTCTCTGGGAGCCACTGCTCTTCTCCTAAGTAGTCCCTGGCTTAGTGGTAGAGGGTGCCTGGCAGGCCATCAGCCCTGGGAAGGGAGCACAGAGCCACTCTGAGAAGAAACTCCATCAGAGCACTTTTTCTCTGGGTCCTTGGACTTTGGAGCCTCAGGGAGGGCTGAGGTCATCAGAAAACAGGCCCTGGTTGTACCTCCCTGTGGTGTTTGCTGTGCCTCCTAGTGCTAGCTTCTCCTTGTTGATTTTAGTTGTGTCTTTGGTTCTTTGTGCCTGTTCCATGAGGTTCCTGAGCCTGATGGTGATATGCACCTCCCGGAGTCCTTGACCTTCCCAGAGAATCTCCTTCACACCTCCCTGCTGTGGGGAGAATAATCAAGGGGGACAGAAGAAGCATGCTATAACATTGGGACGTGTGACCACAGTCAAGTTCTTCATGGACACAGCTGGCAGACATTCTATAGATGCTTACTATGGACAAGGACTGGCCCAAGCCTCCTTGATTTCCTGGCTGCTGACATGATGTGATCTGGACATACAGTAATTACACACTCAGCCCAACTCTGCCTGCTTGATATCCAGACTTGATTTTCTGGACATACAAATTTGGATTATTAATTTTGGGGTTGATCAAACAGGTCTTTGTATCTCAGAACCCAAATTCAGGTTCCAGCAACAGTTCTAGAGTTCAGGGGCACATGTCATTTCACAGGTCCCATTGCCCAGAAAACAGATTTTAAAATTGAAACCTAATAGAGCATCATGCAAAGTGTGGTGGCACGTGCCTGCAATCTCAGATACTTGAGAGACTGTGGAAGGAAGATGGCAAATTCGAAGCTAGCCTAGACAACTTAGAGACGTCCTGTCTCGACCAAAAGAAAACATAACAGCAGTAAAATAAGAACTATGGATGTGACCTAGTGAAGGAACACTTGTCTAGCATATATAGTCCCTAGGTTTAACCCCTAGTGCTGTCAAAAATATTTGTATTATATAAATATTCTATATGTATATAGTCATATACAAAATTTATTAACTTGGTTTTTAATATTATTTTTGAGTCAAGGTCTCATGCTACAAGATCTCATGCAGCCTAAGTTGGCTTCAAACTCAGCAATTCTCCTGCTTCTATCTTGTGGATGCTGGGATTACAGTTGTGTTTCAGCTCATTTGGCTGTGTCTGTCTGTCTGTCTGTCTGTCTGTCTACTTATGTGTGAAATGTTCAGATCCTATGCAATGGGTGAGGAGTGAGGCATGGAGCTTATGAAACAGAGGTGGTTGGAGACGGTAGCAGAGGGAAATCCTTTGGAACATCTCAAGCCGTGGGACTCAGTTTTACAAGTGGAGGTGTCCCAGCCCTGCACAGTGAAGGCTACCAGGATTCCAGTTGTTACCAGGAAAGCAAAACAGGAAGGAAGATGAGGGACTTCCTAGGCCCATGTGAAACTTTGCTGGGTATGTTTGGGAACTTGCAGAGGTGGCAGCATCTCTCGTCTCTTTCTGACTCATCTGTAATTTCTGCGAGGCAAGAATGACCTTTGTAATAAAGGGCACTGTACTTCCTGTAAGGATGTCTAAGTCAACAAGACTCCAATTGGCCTAACTCTGGCTGGGATAGAAACAGAGGCGCTTCTCTGTTTCTGCCGGTTCTGGGGGTTCTTTTCCTCAAGGGACAACATGGCTCCAAAGCCGCTCCTCCTTCCCACTCCAACTCTTTCCCTGAACCAAGGAGACCAGTGGCTCCATGAAGGGATGTGGTTACACCGGTTCCTCCTCCAGGTAGTACTCTGTGACAACGTTGCCATCACCCCTCCTCTGTCATGAGTACTGAGCTGAGACTACTCTGCCTCATCTAAGGAGTGTGCTTCCCCATGATGGAGAGCTCACATCACGACAGCCGCAATGACACCATCCCCTTTGGTTTGTCGTGTGTCAGGAGTGGTGTTATGTGACTTCCCTGGTAAGGCCAACCAGTCACCCTGAGCATGCTATAGGAGAACGGTTGGTAACTGATACATTGTTTCTAATGGTCGAGAAGATGAGGCTCAGGTAACTGATATATTGTTTCTAATGGGAGAAGATGAGGCTCAGAGAGATTCAGAGAGATGTATTTCTTTCCTGGAGGGTCACACAGCCAGGTAAGGGAGGAGCTGGGATTCTACCTCCTAACTGGAACAACAGGTGGTTTGCTTTTTCTGTGGCTGTAGCTCAGCCTTCTCTGGCTTGTCTAGTGTGTGCACTTAAGCATATGTACAGCACTGGGCAAGTGCTGTAAGGGATTGGTGGTGAAAATCCATGTACCTCCAGCAGACCTTCAAGGACCTTCCAACAATGTTCCCCTGCACCCCTGAGGCTTGGTCAATATCATGAGCTTCCCAGGGACAAACTGAGACTCCAACCTGGGTGGACCTGACTGTCCCTGACCCCAGCATGCTGTCAAGCTGAGTTTCTTCCCTAAATGGGCAGTTGGGTTAATGGGTAGGCACGTGGAGGTGGCAATCCTGTCTGGTGCTTGCTTTTGTTTGGTCCCTGGGCTAAGAATAATGTTTGCATTTTGAAAGGTTTATAAAAACAAAAGTCCAGTATCAGATGCATGCTTGGCTGACAGAGCTTAACATGTTTTCTTCCTGCTCTTCGAGATTCAGATAGTGGCTTGGAGGGAGGAGCCTGGGACTGCATCCACATCCCAGTGGTCTCAGCATCAGCACTCCAGGATCTGCAGATGGTATGTACTTGTCTGGACATATTACAAACGACCACAAAAGGTCTCTCACTATGTTAGCCACCAGCACAAGGGGGATAAGACTCCCTTTCATATTTTTGTTTTTTGATAGGGAGGAAGGATCTGTGCCCAAGGGGAGGGGGGAATGCAGCAATTCCCTGGTTGGATTTCAGTGGTGAGGGAAGCAGTTTTTATTTTTCTTTCTGCATGAGGCCAAGTGCACCATGGTGGAGATGAACTTCATCTTACAGCGTTGCAAATCAGAGCTCTGAGTGCCAGGCACTCTCCACAGGGTAGGGAAATGGGGGTCCCTGCTGTGCCACACACAGCCCATTTTGTAGTCAAGACGGTTGTGTACACTGAGAGACAGGGTTCTGAAATTGGAGGAGGGGCAGGGAAGTAGGGAGGTAGGCAGGAAGCACAGGAGGTGACGCCAGCCAGCATTGCATCCTGAAAAACGACACAGTTCTGCAGATCGTGGAGTAGGTGGTGCTGAGGCCAGGCAAGGGAATGGTCCCAGCAAAGAGCCCTTGGGTCGGGCAGCCTCCGAGTGTGATCCTAGGGCAGTAGGTGTCAGCAGAGGCGAGGCTTTGGGGTTGACTGGGCCCGCCCCTCCACCGCGCCGCCATTGTCTGAGCCAGCCGCCGCCTTGGCAGCAGAAGGTGACATCTGGTGACTAATGGCCGCGGCTGTGCGCCGCCCTCCTCCCTCCCGCAGCGCCCAGGGTGCAGCTGCCACACAGCCAGCTCTTCTCTGTTCCCTCCCATTTCCTCCCCACTGCTCTGCTTGCGGGGTTGGGGACAGAGGGGACAACCCGAACCTGGAAGCAGAACGAATACCCGGGTTTTTCCAGCTCACCAGGACCGCCCTGCAGATGCCCTGTGCCTCCTGCCTCCTCAACGCGCAGGCGCCTTCTCTTCTTTGCTGCGGCTGCCACCACCACGCGCCCTTGTGGACAATGCCATCTCTTCAGGGCCATCTCAGGAAGCAGCCTTGCCCTCGGCTGCACTGCCTTTGGAGGGCGCCGATCTGTCGGGCATGGGAGCCCACATATATGGGCATCAACACACAGGTGCAGGTCCCTACTGTCACAAGTAATGCTATACTTAAGACACCTGTGGGTCTTTCAGTTTTTGTGCTGATGCAAATGGGAGGATGGTGCTGGCTGACAGACTTGGGGACAATCTGTCTCTGCATGTGTTTACATAAGCACGCACATCATTTGGAGAATCCTATAGCCCTGGAATGTTTCCTTGCTCAAAATGGGAGCACTTGGGCACAGCACACACACACATGTCCCTGTCAAAGTTCAAGGGCAATGACAACAACACAATTCAGATTCTAACCACCATTTAAGCTAAACAACCCCCTCCCCATACTCACACTACTGCTAATTTAGTTGCATTAAAAAGAAAAGAAAAGAAAGAAAGAAAGAAAGAAAGAAAGAAATTGCAGTTTAAGTCACTGGGGCATTGGCTCCTGGATGTAGTGTTAGCTATTCAATCCCAAAAGCCTGAGTTTGGATCTTCCCATGGACTGGTAATTCTTGGGAAGGTAGAAGGAGAATCCATGGGCTTTACCGGTGAGCCTGTCTACAGGAATAGGGAGTTTCAGGTACATTGGAGCGAGATGGAGGAAGACACCCAACACACTCACAATGGGAAAGAAGGAGATGAGGGGATGGGAGGATGGAAGGGGGGAGCAGAGGGGAGAAGAGAAGGAAGTACATGTTAAAACTTGGCTGGGTGTCTAGCTTCTCTTACAAGGTCAGGAGATGTTCTGGCAAAGCGAGACACTTTCCCAGCTGGCCATTTCCGGTTGGGGCTGGGCTTGAAGTTAGTTCCACTAGTCCTCCAGCTGCTCACTTCCTGGCTGTCCACATCTCCTCCTCTGTGGACATTTGCACTGTCCACTTAGGAGTGGCTGGGCTTCCAGGAGCGTGCTTGGCCACCAGCCAGCAGAGCCCCAGACCTTCGAAGCTGGCGGCCATAGGAGAAAGCGTGACTCTCCCTCACTAGCCCCAGCTCTGAAGCCCAAGGAGACTCTCCCCCATTGCAGAGTGTTAGAGGAACTGCCAGTCAGAGAGGCCCCCTGTCATTCACAGAGTGCCTTCTTCATGTGACATCATATGGTCCTGATGATGGCTCTGAGGGGGCAGCACCATGGCTTCCACCACAGAGTGGAGAAGATGGAGGCTGGGGTGGGTGACCGCCTAGTTGTGAAGTGCAGCTGGGCACAACCGCAAACGTCTGTAATCTCAGCAGTTGGAAGGCTGTCAGAAAAAGAGTTTGAAGCCAGCCGTCTCAAAACAAACGACCCAAGCCCAAACAAGAAAGCAACTAGTTGCAAAGTGCAGAAGGGCTTACAGTCCAGGCTGCCTATATGTAGATGAGGGTGGTTACCTCTATTTTTCAGCTCCTGGTGGGAGGTACAAGAATGTCCTGTGAAGTATTCTTTGTGTCCAGGAAAATGAGGTGCTATTTTGTTTGCGCCCATCAGAGAGTGTTCCGCTCTGATATGAGTCTCCTTGATAGCCTCCACAGGATCTGCACAGGGGCATTCAGGTGGGTACTATCTCTCCACAGCACTATCAGCCCTGCCACATCCCCATGCGCCTGAGGGTTCTTGCCGCCTCAGAACTGACGCTGCCTGTGGTAGTTTGAATGTAATTGGCCCCCATTACCCCATAATCCAATAGTCTCCTAGGGAGTGACACTATTAGGAGGCGTGGCTTTGTTGGAGTGGGTATGGCCTTGTTGGAGGAAATGTGTCACTGTGGGGGCGGGCTTTGAGGTTTCATATACTCAGGATACCACCGAGCGAGCCAGTCAACTTCCTGCTGCCTGCAAGATGTAGGACACTCGGCTGTTTCTCCAGCCCCATTCTTACCTTCATGCCACAATGCCCCTTGCCATGAGCCTCTGAACTGTAAGTGAAGCTATCCAATCAAATGTTTTCTTTACAAGAGTTGCCATGGTCATAGTGTCTCTTCAAAACAATGGTAAACCCTAACTAAGACACTGCCTGTCACCTTACATGATCCTGTCCACTCTACCTTCTCTCATGAGGAGTCTGAGAGGTCATTGACTTTCAAAACATCCATAGTTGGGCGGATAAGATGGGGTGACCAAGAGGTTAGGCCTGGGCTCAGATCCCAGTTGACTTGCTTTATAACAATGGGCCTGAGCAAGCAACTGTTCTTTGCACCTCTGCTTCCTCCTCTGCAGATGGGGCAGTACACCAGCTGGTTTGAAGGCTACTAGCTGGGGATTAACAGAGGAGATTCACTCAAAGAACTGACAAGAGGCCTTGCCCCGAGCAAGTGCTCAGTCCACCCCTGAGCTTCTTACCCTTGCCTCCAGCTACTGCTTCCTCTATTGCTCCTGGACTTGGTAGGGTTTTATTTTTGTCAACTTGCTCTGTATTTAGAGCCACCCCTGTGCTCCATACCTAGTACTTCTAACTAGTCATCCATGTACATCTCTGTATATGCTCCATGTCCAGCCCTTTCTAATAGACCTCTCTACTGTTTATGCACTGTCTTCTCACAACGAGGCTTGAGTTTTGGTTTGGTTGGTGGCTCCCATGGCCTGCACAGTTGGCCGTATTAGCAGGGTTCACTGATTACAGGCTCTTTACACTCAAATCTAGCCTCACATGTGTGTATTTGAAATACCAAACGTGGCACATAACACTCAATGCACAAGCCTGTTCCTGTGGGTTTTATGCTTGGTGGCAAGTGGGCCCACTGTGCCCAGCACAATTTCATGTCTCTGTGCCCTTGCTCATACTGTACCCTAGATCTGGATGCCCCTCCCTGCAACTTTATTTAACTTGGCTTTTTTTTTTGTCCTGAGAATGCCTATCTAGACTCTCCATGCTCCCTTCATATCCAAAGTGTCACCTCTTACCCCAGTCTCAGAGTATCCTAAGCATTGCTCTAGGTTGCACCAAACCTTGTTAGCCACTTGTCTCTCTGTCTGCATGCCACCTCACCCACTGCTTCCTGGCACACTGTGGATAGAGCCTGGTGCATGGAAGAAGTAGCTGGTTTGGGGACAAGAATTAGACTTTAATTTCCAAGCTCGGAGTGCTCATGGGGGCAGGTACAGCATCTGCAGGAGGATCTTCTGGGAAAGCACAGGGTAGGGATGATGATCTGGAGGCATCAGCTGGCAGATGCTCAGGAAGGCTGGGGAGAGAACAAGATCATCCTGGGAAATCTGGAGGAAGAAAGTCGAGGAGGGACCCTGGAGGAAAAGCATTTGTTTAAAGAGCGTGACTTAATGGCAGCCTGTTAGAAGATAAAATGAGAGCAGAAAACATTTATAGCCACAACGAAAAGGATGAAAAACCTAGGAATAAACATAAGAAGAAATGTGCAAGATCTAGGCAGAGAAGGTATTTGAATGCTTCTAAGCAACAAGAAGCATTTGAATAACGTTCTTGGACATGAAAACGAACATCATGAAACTGTCTGTTTTCCCTCAGATGATTCAGAATTTAATAAGAGTCTCGATAGAAACCAAGCCTTTGTTGTCAGTGTTTAGACAAACTGATTCTAGCGTTCCTATGGAAAAATAAATACGTATCCAGACAGTTCTCCGTGGGCTCCTTATGTTGCTGCTTTGGCTGAGCAGAGTCTACCCTACTCCAAACTCTGCAAAGAGCATGCACGGCCACAGAGAGTGTTGGTTTTAGGCATGGAAAATTTGCATACTGACCACAGGAAATAGGTAATGTTCCCCTGGGGTGGAGATCAGAGATGGAGTGGAGATAGGTTTGACTCCACTGAACTCGACTGTCTCTTGCTAACACAACCACTGTGTATACAGGCTCTTCATCTCTGCTGTGGTACCCTTTACTGTTTTGCTGCTGTGTACAGCAGGCTTGCTGGCCTGTAAGTTTCTGGAGAGACTCCTGTTTCCACTTCCCATCTCCCTGCAGTATGGGATTACAGATACATGCTACTGTAGCACCAGGCTTTTATGCGGGTTCTGATGATTTGAACTCAGGTCTTTGTAGTTGCACTGTAGGCAATTTTACCTTGGATGTAGAGGGGGACTTTTCTCCATCTAGTCTGGTCCCACTGGACCAGTTTTTCTCTGCCCACCAGGGCCCTGCAGCTACTTATAAGATAATCATTCAGAGACAATATGTATTTATAATCATTTGGCCAATGGCTTAGGCTTATACTGGCTAGCTCTCTCTTGCAAATTAACTCATTTTTACTAATCTGTGTATCACCCTGTGACTGCAGTTTATGAGTGATGCCCTTGCATCTTGCTTTCCCGGAGAATACATGGCATCGCCTCACTCTATCTTACTTCTCCCTCTCTGTTTGGATTTCCTGCCTAGCTAAATTTTGCCTGTCCACTGGCCAAAACAGCTTTATTCATCAGCCAATAAAAGCAACACATGTTCACAGCATACAGAAGAACATCCTATATCACACAGAGCTATCTCCTCAACCCTGATTAAAGTGCTGTTGCCTTCTGCCAGAACACAGGAAATGGGGCAAGCTGACTTGTTGTCTTCAAAAAGAGAAAAACCCATGAACTTGTCACAGTTCTTGACAGGGAGAGTAGCTAGGACATAGCTGAAATGGGGACAACCATGAGGGGACTTAGCCACCTGTCAGTATCAAACACAGCAACAATGAGATGCTGGGCATCCTAGCAGTTATAAATAAACCCAGAACTTACACATGGGAACTTAGCCTAAGGTAATACACCATTTCAAACTGAGTGTGAAAATGTTTTATTCAAAAAATGAAGTCAGGGAAACTGGAGAGGTAAAAAGTTGGAGCCACATCTCAAACTTCATACTAGAACAAATTCCATATGAAACAAATATGTGAATGTAACAAAATGAAACCATAAGCATAGCAGAAACACAAAAGGAGTGCTGCACTCAGAATGAGACCAATCTAGAAGTCAGAGAGACTGATGGCTAACTACTAACATGAATGGCAGAACTGAACTGGACATGGTTGTACAAATCTGTAATTTCATCATTAGAGAGGTAGAGGCAGGAGGATCTGGAGTTCAAGGTCACCCTTGGCTACATAGTAAGTTTGGGGCCAACCTGAAATATGTAAGTCTGTATCAGACAAATAATAACAACAAAAACAAATCAATAAACTAA